TTTTGGAAATTGTTGTCTGATTAAGCTGCTCTGTCCTCATGCCCTCTTCCTCTCCTGGTGGTGGTGGTGGTGGGGGGAAGGCAGCGATGTTTCCTCACGTTCACCTGAGTTCCAGCAGCCTCCGTGTCTCCTGAGTTCAGGACCCGCCCTCCTGCTCTCAGCCAGCCAATGGTAGCTCTGCAGTCTCCCTCCCAGCCTATAGCAGCTGTAATGGGCGGAGCAAGCTGCAGGTGGCCACCGAGGAGCCCAAACACTGAATGGGCTGTAGAAACCCAACCGAACCACTAGCTTTTCTCCATCTCTGCCACCTGCAGCTTCTTCCCCTACTTCAGCTACTATACAGGGGAGAGCTGTAAGTGCGATTGACACGGTTGGCGACAGCTTGTTTTTAAGTAATTTACCCTCCCCCAGGATCCTCCACTGGTCCTGCTGGATGCACCCCCACTGATACGGCACCAAGGCACATGCCCCCCACCCTAGTTTCGGCACTGCATCATGAGATTTCTAATTTCCCCACCGCTGCTGTAGAGGATATCCCTGCTTTTAGGGACGAAAGGTTAGAATTGCTCTTCGAAGCCTTTTTCCTCATTTGCAGGCCCTGCCATGGCAGTGGGCTAGACTTTATCTGTATGGTCAAACAGTTATGTCTAGCTTGGTCTAACTTGATGGACCTGGCTGCTCATAAATGGCTAGAGATTTTTTTTCTTTTGTACTGTGCTATTGCATCGATGGCTTGGCATATACAAATCTCCAGGAGAAGTCTTCTGTCTGTCCGCAGACTGCTCCTATGGCTTTAATGCTGGTCTGCTAAGCTTCATGCATAATGCGCCTAAAGCACATACCTTTTGCTGTGGAACTCCTTTTTGGTGAATACTTCGATAATTACATCAAGGAAGTCAATGGGGGGCTGAAGCACCTTCTTACTTTAGAAGAGGAGGTCCATGTCCCCAGTAGAAATTTTCTCTACTCTCTCATTTAAAAAGGTTCTTTTGTCCCCCAAAGCCCAAGCTGGACACTCCATTCTGTCAGGAATCTTGGCCCTCCAAACTTGCAAAATCCACTGACAAGCCCTCGTCACAATAAAGGGGCGCCACCACTTTCAGTTGTTGCAGTTGTTTTAGATTACAACAGACAATATAAGGAGATAGAACAAGTGTTTAAGAAGCAGTGGAGCATCCTAATAAAAGACCCTCATTTAGGTCCCATTTCACTGGAGAAACCTACATTTATATACAAAAAGGCTCTGAATTTGAGGGATAAGTTAGTTAAAAATGTGATTGACCCCCCAGTGGGTACTAAAAACATACATTTTTTTAATGGTAAAGGATTTTTTGGATGTGGGAAATGTTTGCCTTGTAAAGTAACTAGTAATGATGATGGAAGAAGAAAGAGTATACGTACAGTCACCAAAACAGGAAAGCGATAATTAAATATTTCTTGTCATGTCATATTAAAGGCTTAGTATACACTGAGTGGCCAGATTATTATGACCACCCCATCAGTACTTCGTTGGGCCACGAGATGACTCCACGAGATGACTTCATTGGGCCGCCTCGTGACTCCACGAGATGTTGAAAGGTGATGCGAGGAATCCGACACTGCACTGTTGCCCTTCTGTTGTCTTGTACCAGTCTTGCCACTCTCTGTTCTGCCCTAACATTGACTAGTCGCTGACGGCCACAATTCGCACGTTCAGACCCAGATTTTCGGCTGACAGTCCAGTCTTTAAACACTTTTTTTTTTTCAAATTGACAATTTTTATTATTAAGTTTTCTTTACAGTTGTTGCACACAAGGAATACAAAAGTAACACATAACAGGAAATATAAAACATATAAGGTAAGGTAGCACACAGACCGTAGCCAGCTTTTTACCTTGTGCAGTACCCAGCAACTTACATCAAACCCACTGTGGCCACAAACCATGAGCCAGGCGAAGTACATGCAACCTCTATAGGGCGTATAAACATTGACACTCTAGGGCTGTTGTTAATGTAAACAGAAAAAGCAATTAGGTATATCCATGTGTCACATATACTATCTCCGTGCAGCATTATCGCGGGTCAGTAGTTTGTAATGTAAAATTACAATACTGAAATGGGCGCTCTCGGGCTCCGATCAGCAGCCAGGCCTTATTATTTAGAATTGAAAACAACTCAAAGTCCCCAGGAAAGAGCCCTGGGAGAACAAACATATGAGACAGAGAGAAGAGAGATAACAGAAGATAAAGGTTAGAGAGAAGGGTAGATTAAAAAAAAAGGGGGTAGATACCGGCTCCGTCTCACGGCTCCAAACATCTGGCTAGAGATTTCCAGTTCATCCCAGGCTTCCCACACCTTGTTATGTAGCTTCCAGGTGTTGTTCATCCTAGCAGTTAAGTATTCACGTTTTTGAACATCCTTAATTCTAGTGTAAAGATCCAGGTCTGAAGGTGGAGTACTACGCTTCCAATGGAGGGCTATGAGACATCTAGCCGCTGTCAAGACATGGGATGCCAGTTTTTTATCGTACCTATGTAACCCTGTCAAGGGGAGGCCCAATAGGAAGTGTAGCAGGTCTAACGAGAGTTTACGATGGAGAAGGTTCTCCAATACAGCCTGTACATTCCTCCAGAACGGCTTGATCCGGCCACACTGCCAAAATATATGGAATAGAGAACCAGGTCGAGACTTTACAGCATCAGCAGAGGGAGGAGACGTTGGGAAAAATACGATGAAGGAATTCAGGAGTGTGATACGACTGGTATAGCACTTTGTATTGGCTCTCCTTGTAAGTAGAACAGATGGAGGACGTCGAAGCCGCTCTCCAAATGCTCTCCCACTGTTCCTGCGTTATAGGCAGCCCCAGCAACTCCTCCCAGCTTCGCATGTACGGGTGTCTCGTGAACTCACCCGGTTTCTCATCCCCTAACATAGCGTAAATTGCGGAAATCAAGCCCCTGGAGGAAGGCGGCCCAGCACATAGGGATTCAAACAGGGTGCATTTTGGGAACGCCGGGGTTTTAGTGATGGACTGGGCAAAATGCTTAATCTGGAGATAAGCAAAAAGGGTGGTGGAAGGAAGTTGGTATTTCTCCCGTAAATAGGGGAAGGGCTGCAGAACCCCCGATCTCGGGTCAATAATATCCCTGTACCGAAAGAGGTGGTGTTCCACCCATGGCAACGTCCACCGCCTTTCCAGACTAGCTGGGAGGGCTGGATTGTATAAAAACGAAGTCATAGAGGACTGTGGAGTAGTCAGGTTAGAAGTAAATCTGTATCTATGCCATATCTTTCTGGTACAGCACATGGACGTTAGCAAAGAAGAAGGCGAAAGGGGCTCCTGCAGCGCCCACAGGAGGGAGTTAAGGTGGGTAGGTGCAAGCCACAGAGACTCGATCACTCCCCACACCGCTGGGGGAGTCATGGCGCTCCAAAGGGGGACCGCTCTCAATTGGGCCGCCGCAAAATAATGGAGGATATTGGGCAACGCCAGGCCACCTTGATGTTTAGAGGCACACAATATCTTTTGAGAGACTCTGTGGCGTCCACCCCCCAGACAAAGTGCATGATCTGTCGTTGCAAAGATTTAGGATCTGCTGTCGGAACGTCAATCGGTAAGGTGTTAAAATAGTAGAGTATTTTGGGAAGCAGGGTCATTTTAATAGCCATTATTCTCCCAGTGAGTGAAAGATTATAAGGGTGCCATCTATGCAGGAAAGATCGTAGAGTAACAAACAGCGGTTTATAATTAGTGTTGTAAAGCATACGTATTTTGGGGGTCAGGTATATTCCGAGGTATTTCAATGCTGCAGTCGTCCATCTGTAAGGATACAAGGATTGGAGCAGGGACAAGTCAGTGGGGGAGAGATTTACTGGCATAGCCTCCGTCTTACTTAGATTCAGTTTGTAGCCAGAGAAACACGAAAAGAGCTTAAGCTCGCGGTGCAAGTTTTGCAGCGAGTTCTCAGGGTCAGTAAGCGTGAGGATCACGTCGTCCGCAAAGAGCGCTACCTTAAATTCCTGAGAGCCCAGGGCCACTCCCGCAATGTCCGGTGAGGATCGAATCCTAGCAGCCAAGGCCTCTATACAGAGCACAAACAGTAACGGAGAAAGCGGACACCCCTGTCGGGATCCATTGCGGATCTGGAAGACAGGAGACATGGCCCCCTTCAATTTTATGGACGCCGATGGCGTAGAGTATAGAGAGGCAATGGACTTAGCAAACGCCCCCACCACCCCAATACGGGCCAGGCGGGATCGCAGGAAAGGCCAGCCGAGCCTGTCAAAGGCCTTCTCAGCATCTAGACTAAGTAAGACCATTCCCATCCCTTTGCGGTTCGCGATGTCTATGATGTCAACAAGTCTTCTAGTGTTGTCCCCCGCCTGTCTACCCAATACAAAGCCAACCTGGTCTCTGTGGACCAATCCGGGCAGAAAGACAGAGAGTCTGTTCGCCAATATCTTAGTAAAAATTTTGTAGTCTGAGTTCAGTAGCGCTATGGGCCTATAATTAGCACAGATGGTGTCGTCTTTGTCCGGTTTGGGGATCACTATTAGATAAGATTGCAGAAAGGAGGCCGGGATAGGGCGACCCCCTAAGAATTGATTATAAAGTCTCAAGTATGGGGCAAGCAGGTGCGAGTAGGTCTTGTAGTATAGATAAGAAAACCCGTCAGGTCCCGGCGACGGAGGCGATCGTCCTCTTGACCTCCTCCACCTCCATCGGAGCATTTAGTGCTGGAAGGACTGGCCTAAGAACAGCCAGTTAACCCTTGCAGTGTGGGGTAGCCCCTCTGCAAAGGTTAATATGTTTTGCCTGGAGTTCTTAAGTCCGAACTGCATCTGCTCATAAGTGAAACATCAACCTTAAGCAGTTATTAAGCAAATAGTCAAATTTATAGCCTGCTAGTGAAGACATCCGTTAGAAGTTTAGTTGACATAAAGATAGATAATATAATTGATTCATATAAGTTAAATACTGCTATACATGTTGCTAAATACTTTCATCTTCTGGCTTTCAGATCAATGAGTTGAGTAATGTTCCAGTTCCTGTTATGCTAATGCCAGATGACTTTAAAGCCTACAGCAAGATCAAACTGGATAACCACCTTTTCAACAAGTAAGTGGGGACTTATACTGACACTTTACTCTGTGACATAACTTGGAAACTGAAAAATGTATTGCTGGGATTTGTAGTCCTCTATCACTGGTGGTATTCTGCATTGGGGTATAATATATATCCACCACAAAATCATTAGTCTGTATTGTTTTAGAAAAAACTGTCACATGACACTAAAAAAAAGGTATCTGTAATTAGTATCAGCGAGTACTTGAAGAAAAGTATTGGTACTTGGACTCGCCCTTGAAAAAATTGTATCAGTGCATCCCTAGTGGAAACATTGAAAATTGGAAACAGCACTGCACTAAAAAATAAAAAACTGCTAAAATAAAACAGTAAAAATAAATAAACGAAGAACTTCAAACAATGAAAAAAAAACTGCATAGTGCACAACACATGTGCAATAACCTCCCAAACATATAATAAATGTAGGATCACATGAATCATAAGCCATGTAAAATTGAACCATATAAAGATACAGTGATGCAATCATGTGAAAGTCCGTGGAACAACTCCTATACAGGTGTGATAATGAATCATCCAATTGTATAGATAGTCTACTCATTCTAATAAAGTGCAAGTAAACTGTCCAGAAATATATCTTCCAACTTTTATATCCATACAAACCTTTGTGTAAAATAATTATTGCGTGATCCATTCTCTCCACCATGCTCAAACATATATCAAGCCGCACTCACTGACTCATAGTGTTCACCATCACCACAATCGGCACTTTTTATAAATATCAAAAAAGGTTTACTTAAAAAGATTAAAATGCACTTACAAATAAAAGCCAATTTGCGCAAAAACGATGGCATCCACTAGCGTCCCTTTCCTACTGATCGTGATTCTCACATGTAGATGCTCACATGGACCCGCCCACTGACGCGTTTTGACACTTCCGACTTCTTCCGAGGTGTTGGTCAACAAACAAGCATCAAGATCTCTGTTACTCTTTTATATCAAAAACAAAACACTGCTGAGGAGCGCAACTACCTAAAAGGCTAAACAATAGATGTGCACGTATGGCTAAACCACAATTTCCTGGAGAGGAGCTTAGCTCAATGAATGGTTCACTTCAAAGTTGGGTTAGTAAGTCTCAAAGTGTGGAGTGGTGGAACAGCCCACGTACTCGGCTGGCCAGGCCGAGCCGCGGCAGCTGGGAGAGAGTGTGTGAGTGAGTGTGAGAGGGGAGCCGCGCACAACACTGAGGTGCCGGGCGCCGTGTGTTCAGTGATACACTGATGCCCAGTTCCTTCTAAATTGTACCAATTTCACGCTAACACGCTAACACATAATTACTTCTCCTTTACACAGGAAGTTAACACAACGAGATTGGCGTTCCTAGATTTAGAGCTTTACTCCATAGGCCAGAAAATTGTCACCAACAACCATGTAAAACCCACCGGGGGTAACTCTTCTCTCCACTATAACAGCTGCCATCACCCCCGGTGGAAGAACAATATCCCGAAAAGCCAATTTTGTAGGCTTAGAAGAAATTGTACACAAAACACTGACTACAGGACATCTAGCCAACTTCTCCTCCAGAAATTCAGAGAGAAGGACTATCCGGAAGAACTTATCACCGATGCCTACTCCCAGTATCTCGAACCGGCATCAGTGATAGAAAGAAAGAAATATGGCCAAACTGATTCCAACGGCATTAGATTTATCGCCACATTTAATAATAGCTTCAAAAATATCCAAAAAGTGATCAATAAACACTGGCACATTTTACAGAAAGACCCTAGATTGGGTCCCAACTTACCCCCCAATCCCTCCATCAATTTCAGAAAAACTAAAAATGTGAAAAACTTAGTAGGACCGAGCCGTTCATTCCAGGCACCTGTCATCTCTCCAAAGAATTTTCTCTTTGACAACAGGGTGGGCATTTTCCAATGCAAGAAGCCTAGATGCCTTACCTGCCAGTTAATAACACATGGACAAACCAGCTTTACCGACCATCTAAAAAAGTTGTACCAAATAAATCAGTTCATCACGTGCTCCCACGATCACATGGTATATGGGCTCACCTGTCCCTGTGGCCTGATATATGTGGGCCGGACCATACGCCCACAGCGGGCCAGAATAGGAGACCACAGACGGCTCATTAAGAAGGGAGACTTTTAACATAGCGTCCCAAGGCATTTCACAGCCAAACATCAGAAAATAATTCAGGACCTTACGGTGTTTGGAATTGAGCATATTTCTACACAACTACCGCCATCTGAAAGATTCCGTCGTTTGTGTAGTAGAGAAACGTTCTGGATCTACAAATTAAACACCTTAACTCCTGTGGGGCTAAACGAAGAACTTGAAATCCACACCATTCTGTAGACCGGCGTTTATAGATGCAACCACCAGTTAATCCATTATCAGTATCATCACCAGATACAAGTATTAAAATTCCCTTCCCTACCTTCTTCCCTTTCTTCCCCCCCCTTGTTTTGCTTCAGGTTCCATTAGAGTTTGGGTTTATCACGAGTAAGATATGTTGCAGAGGCACATGCTTGCAGGTGCGTTTCTGTTGGACGTGCACCCTGGAGGCACATGTGGGTACACCTTTGGGTTACCACCAGGTGGTGTGGCCTGCGTGTGTGTAGGGGTTGCATACATAGGTGCTGTTTTTCCTCTGAGGAATATTAGCGAAGACATATGCCCAAGCACTAATAATGATTTTTATATATGATGACTTTTATATAAGTTGAATTCAACTTTGTTTTAGAGTCTCAATTGGACTTCTCCCATCTCATGGAGATTATAATTCCCAATTTTATGGAATTTTTTATTTATTTGTGTTTTTTGTATTGTCACCATATACCTATATTAACCTCTTGCCGTCCGCCCGTAGTAAATACTTTTTAAAATATTAATTTTTATCCACATCAATGTGAGCCCTCATAGTGAACAAGACACATATCAAGCTTTTTAGACATGTCACATAATCCCTACAGACATGTTCCCCGTAATCCTGTCGATCGAGCAGAAGAACACAACATGCCTCACAATCAGAACGACTAAATATGTCCCACTAGTCTGAAGGACATAATTACCGACATTTCAGGACAGAAGTCCCTCCCCCTGTTTGAGTAGGAGCCTATCACAGGGCTAATTGAGCATCCACTCCTCCCCCCTGTCATGTTTAAAATAGATGACCGGTTTCCCGCGGTCTGTATTATCTTGTGGCTTGACAAAGAGGAACCTCCTCGAAACGCGTAGCCATCTGAGAAACGCGTAGCCAATTGAGAACTTCAACCCCCTGTGCAGCTCTCCACGACTTTCGTCTATTGCGAGACTTCTATATATCCCGAGACAGCAGCCCGACTGTATCACTGAACGCCCGGCGCCTCAGTGCTGTACGCGGTTCCCCTCTCACGCTCTCTCACACACACTCTCTCCCACCTGCCGCTGCCCGGCCTGGCCAGCCGAGTACGTGGGCTGTTCCACCACTCCACACTTTATTGAGACTTACTAACCCAACTTTGAAGTGAACCATTCATTGAGCTAAGCTCCTCTCCAGGAAATTGCCACTCAGATGCCAGGAGATCTTCCAACTGAGTGCGCTCAATCCATTGGAGTTGTCTTTTACCTCGCTCTCCCACTCCGGTCTGACAGCCATCCTTCTTACACCTGTCAGTGTAAAGGAGCCGACCAATAGATTCTGAAGGGAATCCTACAAGAGACCCCCTGGGCACGTTTGCTCGCATCCTAACTGTAAGTTATCATCAATTTCATTTCATAGGGCCAGTCATAGGATGGCTGTCCGCATTCTAATATGAAAAGCAAGTGGTTTAGCCATACGTGCACATCTATTGTTTAGCCTTTTATGTAGTTGCGCTCCTCGGCAAAGTGTTTTGTTTTTGGTTGTAATACAAAGGGTTCCTCCCCCTGTAGTGAGGAGCTTTGCACACCAGTCCTTAACAGTTAACCCTTGAAGTTGTGTCTGCCCTACAGGAGTGCGCTCCAATTTGTGTTTTCCACTCTTTTATATAATTCACAGTGATACCAATATCCAACACTAGATGTCATCACCAAACTCCAGTGTATAAATTGCATATTAATTAGAACAAAAGAAATTATGATGAGGAGGAAATATGCAACATAGAGGAAAATGCAATGAGTATTCAATGAAGCCTATTACATGATATATAAACTCTAGCTCCAACAAATATATGATATCCCCATAGTAAAACAATATAAATTAAAAGCAACACATGTATAAATAGGGCCAAGCAAACCTTATAGCAGAAGAATAATTACCTATTTAGCCATATTGAAGAGATGTTCTTGTGGGGTCAGATCCACCCCATATATTACAGCAAAAACAATATAAATAAAAAACAATATCAATTAAAAGGAACACATGTAAAAATAGTGGAAAATTACTCTTCTGTGCTTAGGATATAAGGAGATACGTAAGTCTAAAGCCGCTGTGCTAAAAGCTGAAGGACTCTCAAGATGCTAAAATTATTGTAAAGCGCTAAAGACCCTATTGAGGGACCAATAAGTGCTAAATAACCAGTTTCAACAAAATATAATATAATACATGAAAATTTAGTGATCTAATTGTGCCTGTGCATAAAGTACGTGAGTCAATACTTGTATATTGTTGGCAATATTAAATGTTGCAAAAATATTTAAAGAAATATTATAAATAAAGTATCAAGTTGCTAAAGTCCTGTGTATCAGAAAAAAACGTGTTAAAAAATTATATGTACCAAGAAAGGTAGTCCCCTGTCATGAATAGGGATAGCCTTCTTTGTGTTAGTATAGATCCCCCTTAGGTAATGCACTCACCAGAACCATTGGCCGGATAGTGTATCTGTCAATCAGATGAGAGCCTGCTTCTCCACGGTAAATGTTGTGCTCTCCTTAGTATTCGATCGTATTCTTTCCGGTGGTAACAATTAGAATCATTGACCATGTCAACGGCCAGATAGCGTATTTGTCAATCAGATAAAGCAAACTGCTTCTCCATAGAGAATGTTGTGCTCTCCTTAGTGGTCCATCCTATTCTTCTTGGTGGTACTAATCTCCATATTCATGCATGTCAAACAGAGAGAGGAAGGCGTTCATAGTGCATTAAATCCCAAAACTTTTATTTAAAAAATAATATAAAAAACTTTAAAAACCGTCCGAAAATGCTCCCTGCTCACTGGTTTACATCAGGTTAGCATCAATAAAGACCACCCTTGACATGTTTCATCACTATGACTTTTTCAA